TGCCTGGCAAGAGTTCAATCCCCAGTACCAGAAAAACAAAGTAAGAAAGTAAAGAGGAAAGAGAAGAGAAGAGAAAATAAAAAGAAAAGGCAAATCAAAGCAAAACAAGGCAAAGTGAGCTCTACATGGAACAATGAGGAGAGTGTGTCACCTCATAAGATTGAGCTTACTCTGGGCTCTGGGATTCAATAAAAAAGGAAAACAGATCACCACCTAGGGTGCATGCATCTTAGTGTCTAGATTGATTTGGCCATGAGCAAGCAGTCTGACAAGGCCACTGAGACAATGGGGACAGCACCCCAGGACACACCGATGAGTCCCAGTGTCTCCGCAGACATGCATGGCCTTCCTTCTGTGCTGGCTGGCTGTGCCCAGAGGCACATTGCTGAGCACCATCTCCCACTGGCTGGCCGGATAATTCTCAACCCCACGACCCATAAGCAGCAGGAGACAAGGAGGAGGGGGCAGAAGTATTTAGATTCCCAATGGTCTGTTACTGTTCACACTTGACATTTTTCTGATCTGAGCAAATGAAAACTATATTTTTACAATAAAATTGCACTTCATGGAGTGACGTTTTCATACACAGGATCTGGAAGCAGCCAACATTATAAACCATGAAGTGCTCTCAAGGAACCAGCAGGGGCGGTGGGAACCCCAGGAGAGGAGACTCTTACACTGCAGCGCTGAAGCTGAGAAGGCGTCAGGCGGCAAGCGCGCAGCAAGGCGAGCAATCCCAAGAGGACACAGAGAGCCAACGGGGCGGTGGGAAGGAGGCAGTGCTCCCGGACCAGAAGGATCGGAGGGGAGCCGGCCAAGGAGGACTGCTCACGAGCGCAGGACAGCCTGCGGAGGACGCTCAGCGGGGAGCTGGAGGGCAGCCCAGATAGCCGGATAGCCAAAGGGCAGCTCTGGATCACTGCTGGGCCCAGGCCAGGGCACACGGCCCGAGTGCCAGCACAGTGGACCTGGGGCACAGGCCAGGAGATGTACTCAAGGGGTAACTTGTAGGCAGAGTTTGCAAGACGTGTGATTGATGGTGAATGGAAGGAGAGGGGAAGAGGAAAATACGGCGGCTGGCTTCCCTGGTGCAAGGAGTCTGGCAAGGCTATCTCGGTGATGCAAATACTGAAGGGGTAACAACTTGCAATAAGATAAATAAAAGTTTAATTTGGGATAATTTATGGATGCTTTAGGGAAGGGTTTTTTTTTTGTTTGTTTGTTTGTTTCTTTGTTTTTGAGAAGGGTCTACAGGGTGTTCAGGGTCTCACTACTAGATCAGACTTGCAGTGATCCACCTGTTTACAGCCTCCCAAGAGCTGGGCTTTAATCTGCTGAGCTTTTTGGCCAGCCCTGGGAAGGCTGCTTTTAAAAATGTTTGAGTCAAAGTCTCATTATGTAGTCTACTCTAGCCTTGAACTCACTGCATAGCCCAGCCTGGACTCACAGTCTTCCTACCCTAGCCTTTGAGAAGACTCTATAAGTCAGGATGGGGTCACTGGTACTGGGCTTTGGCTAGGAGTGTGTTTCCTCATGCCCAATGTCAGGGGGAAAAAATCCTATAGTTTGGACTTTGAATGTCCCAAAAAAAGGCCTGTGCTTGGCAGGGTGGGGACCCTGGCTCCCCTCTCTCTCTGCCTTGCACACTGCCCCGATGTGCTTCCCAAGGTCTGAAATGGTGGGCTGACAGCTTTCAGACTGGAACTTCTGAAACTACAAGCCAATATAAAACTAATTTTTATAAAGTGGTTATTTTTGGGTATTTTGTTGTAGTGAAGGAAAGCCTAGCCTTTCAAGGTCAGTGAAGACTCAGGACATAGGAGAATCTGTACTATAACATCATGTAACTCAGTTGTGTCCCAGATTTTCTGATCAAGGAGATTATGGGGCCAAAGAGGATTGTGATCGATGATGTAGAGTGTGCCTAAGATGAGTCACATGGAGAGAAAACATTCTTTCAGGCTTTCACAGAGAGCAAACTGGTCAAGCAATGGCTGTGACTCATCCACATGGCTGACACTGACAAAGGTTCTACAAACTGCAGTGCAGGGTTTCAAGGTAAATCCTGAGGGGACTTGACTGACCTTATCAGATACAAAAGTTACATTTCTTGCTATATAGGTCTTGCTTTATCTTGGTCTTAACCATCCAGCAGAAAGGTAAAAAAACGAGGTATAACAGGTGAAGCCATGTTGGTATGCTGGGCTGGAAAGGGCTCAGGCCAACAACTTCTGACATTGCCAGTCCTGTGGATGACCCACTATTATTATGAACTACTGGACTATATTGGAATATTTTGCTGAATTCAAGTACCGACAATATTTAAGTGACAATGGAATACCCTTCTCTGACAAAACTAAACCAAAAAAGGGGACACAAATGAAGGACCGTTTTGCATCTGTATATACAGAATAGTTAGGATAGATACACAGCTACTTTCTCTTAATTCAATGAGAAGAAAGATTTGTACTAATAGTGTTTGGGCAGGATATCATGTCTGCATCTTGTACTATGAATAACCACTAAGAAGGTAACAATATGCAATGTATTAATTAGTGAAACTCCTACTAATCAGTTTTGAAACTGTCTCATTGTTATTTGTTTCTCAATAAAATTATTTAAAAAACAAACTTTTGAAGAAGTTGGTGCCACATAGAAGACGTCCAGACACAGAACGCGCGCAGGACTGTGGGAGGCTGCCGTTGGGGGATGGGTCATCAAAGCAGAAATGCCACAGGCTGTCACACACACCAAGCTCTCCGTGAATTTTTTGAAGTTAGTAAATGAGCAAATTAGTGGTTTTATTATGATTTCCAGGATATGGGAACATATTTTCACCACCAGATCAAATCTAGTCAACCTCCACAATTTTTTTTTTTTTTTTTTTTAATGTACTTGGTACAGGGTCTACAAGGTCTCACTACATAGATAGGACTTGTAGTGATACTCCTGTTTTCAGCCTCCCAAATGCTGGGATTATAGCCACACACCATCACACCCAGTCTCAATTGCTGTCACAGTGCGCCCCGGGGCAGGGCCGGCATAGCAGGCTTGGGGATCAAGCCCCAGCCGCTGTGCTGTGCCTAAGCAGGCCCTTTAAACCACTGAGCTATCTGGCTGGCCCTGTAATTTCTTGAAATTACCTTGCCTGCCTCCACTACCACACCCATCTGCTCATACACAGCCTGGGGGAGGCCTGTCTCTTCCTTGGTGAGGCAGTTGACATGTGAAAAGGGGCCCAATCATTTGAATTATACTTTGCTCTTCCAGGCAGTGACTTATTTCAGCCTTCTGAAAAACACATGAGGTTAGAAACATTTATTACCTCATTGTATGGAGGAGAAAACTAAGGTATCCTAAGACAACTAAGTAAGTAGTGGAGCTGGAATTTGGAGCTCACTGGCTCCAGAATACAAGCCCTGAGCCTTCCTTATGGGGCAGGCCCCTTCCTGCATGCAGCTTTGCTTTCTGGGGCCTTAGCTCCCCACAACTCACTGCAGCCTGAAAAGATGAAAGGGAAAATGCCACAAGTAAGACATTTTAAGTCACCTGTATTAATTACATTGTTGTAATTGTTCGATTGTATTAAGCGCTTTTAAATCTCTCACTGTGCCTGATTTAAATACTAAACTTTATGACAGGTATGCACACCTAGAAAATATTTTATATGTTTGGGTATGCTCTACAGCTTGCACTTTGATTTGCCTTCATGTCTTACTTGAGCCAACTTTTAAGTAGCTGTCTTTCCTTTATTTTCACACTTCTTGCCCTTTAAATTCTGTTTGAATTCAAGCAATCACTGTATGCACAGTAGTAAGCCTTTCTGCAGATATCTATAGACTATTTCGGATGTCCACAAGGCTCCAGGAATACACCCTAAACAGACACAGGGACACCATGAAAGTGCCCCCTTTGTTCATGAATATTTAGTTTTGGAAACAGCAATGAAAATATGCACTGTCACTTCTGTACACGGATACTTAGCACAGAACATTAGATTAGGTGAGTATCGTCGCAGATCAAGGAAAACACTTTCCGCAAAATAGTCTATTTGTTTAATAATTCTGGTTTTAAAAATAGAGTCTATCCACAGAAGAGTAAGAGAGAACAACCTTTCCATTCAGTAATCCAGACTTTTCCTTGGTATTACTCTGTGCTCAATGTGTGTAATTAGTGATTATGTGGCTTACAATAATTTTCTATTTTATGGAATTATATGACTGATGTATATACCTGTATATACTAGGTATACTCAGTTAAGGAGAGGAGTTGCAGCAATTTTTCATATTATACAAAGAAAATAATTGTAGCATATTACAAACAAATGCAATTGGATTGTTTTTTAAAAAAAAACCTTTTTAAATCTTTTATTTTTATTTATTTATTTGGTGCAGAGTCTCATTACATAGCTCAGACTCATAGTGACATTCCTGCCTCAGCCTCCTCAGTGCTGGGATTACAGGTATGCAACACCATGTCCAGTTTTGAGGTCAGTAAGGCATCAGCACCAGGGATCGAACCCGGGTCCTTGCGCTTGCCAGGCAGGCTCTTAAACTGCCAAGCTATCTCCCTAGCCCAGCCATCATTGGATTGCTTCAGAAAATGTTTATTTGTATATTTGTTTTACAGAATAAAACCTTACATTTTAAAGGAAAATAAGCCGATGAAAATCCGATCATTTCGTTACTCAAGCAGTGAGCAGAGACAACGCCCACAAAGGAACAGCGGATTACCCAGAACACACTGCTTCACC